GGGGGAGGCGGCGGGGCGTCGGCAGTGCGGCGGCACGTTCTTATTGCCAATGCGCCGCACAATGCGGCTGGATTTGAGGAGGAGCTTGCACAGCATGTGCAACAATTCTTGGAGGATTTGCAAGGAAGACGTTGATGAGGTAATATATGAAGCTTAGTCTGCCTGTGCGCAGCCTTCCTCGACCAGCAATGCGGTGCCTCGGCAGTCAAAACAACTGAGATCCACCGTCATTGCAAGGGGGTGGGAGGTCAGCAGCCTCAGATGTTGCGACCTGCTCTTGGACGCTGCAAGTGAAGGGCAGGCAATCCAGATGGCCGGGCGCTGCGCGCGCTCGACACCTGCCGTCCTGCCCAGCCACTGCTGACAGCGCGCAGGGCGGCTACTTGAGTAGCGGTGCAAGCTGCTGTGACCTCTATATGGACGCCTTGGGTCCTGTGCCTGACCTCATTGTACAAATTCCTTTGTTATATGATCTTCCTTTCCGCCTGAAACGGATCCACGCGCGCTTTGCACTCACCCCAAGTCCCCACCCGCTGCTTGTTGAGCGTACGATCTGAGACCATGACTGGTGGCAAAAAGCGGGAATAGTCAGCATGTCTGCAAGCAGGCTCCAAAAGTTGCTCCAGCTACTCGACAGTGAGCGCACCTTGGGCCTTGGTCACAGTTCGGCCGCCCGTGCGGCCGACAGCGACTAACGGAGACGTATTACCTTTCGCAGGCAACTCTGACAGCACTCGCAAGGCCGCAGGGAAGCAGATTGTTGATGTCGCGCGCGCACACCCGCCGCAGCTCGTCTCCATCACGCGCAAGGTGCGTTGTGAGCACGCATGTGCCGCGGCGAAGGCGCCCCAGCCCGCCAGCACCTGGAAGCAACTGCATGTACGTATCTGTGCCCACCTCTGGCACCACTGCAGGTGCACGCATACCTCTACAGCAAGAAATGGGAGACACGCACGGCTGCGGCCGACACCATCGGGGCGCTCGCCGACGCGTTTCCTCACCACGCGCCCGCCGAACTCGCGGCCGCCGCGGCGGGGGCAGCGGACGAGGGCGATGCAGCTGGCGTGTGCGGCGGCAGCGGCAGCGGGGGCGACGGGACGTGGGAGGCGTCTGTGATGTTTGAGGGCGTGGACCTGCAGCAGGTGGTTGATTACGGGCAGCCGCTGCTGGCGTCAGGCAGCCAGGTGGGCCTGCAGGGGTGATGCGTCCGCTCTGCTGCATGGCTCTGGTTGCGCGTGAAGGTTGCTTTTATGGCCCCGTTTGGGCGCTGGGCGGCAGCGACGGAGCCGTATCGGGGGGTTTGCGCAGGCAGGCCAGGCGCCAACGCGACACAGCGTGGCTCATCGCAGCCGAGGCGGACCCATGTGGGAGTTTGCTCAGGCAGAGTCGTCGGGCCGTGCGCCTAGGTGACACGGCAGCAGCGTAGCTGATTGCGGAAACGCAGAGCTGAAGGGAGGAGCTGGCAGACAGGATATGAGGGGTTTTGGCTCGACCACATCCATGGATCAACCCCTGCACCGCAGGAATTTGTCGAGCCTGCCGATTCCATAGAGCAGGGGCCGCTGGCAGCGCGGCTGGCGCGGCAGCGGGCGGCGGCGAAGCAGCGACTGGGTGCGCATGTCGAAGGGTGCCGTCGCTGTGGGCGGGGACGCTCGCGAGTGTCAGATGGACGGGCCGGGTGTGCTGTTCATAGTGAAGGCGGCTTGTCCGCGGCGCTGATGATACCGAGTGCGAGCCTGCACAGGCGGCGCCAGCATGTCGGTGCCAATGCCGTTTCCGTTGGGGCGCGGACCCGCCCTGTGCGCAGGCCTGGAACTCTTGCCCGAGAAGGGAGGCGGATGCGGCAGCGGTGGCGGCAGCCTTGGCGGGGGTGGCTTGGAGGTGCAAGGCTTCGGTATGCAGCTGGAATGCGAGCTCGGCGGCGGCCCTGCCCCGTCCCGCAAGGCGATGAGCCGCGACGCGTCCCCCGTCAAGCAGCCGCGCCGTGGGGCGAGGCAGCAGCAGCAGCAGCAGCAGCAGGACACGGGCGGCCCGTTTGCGGCGGCGGCGCACGCGCCGGCACTGGCATCGGCGACTTCCCTTGGGCGGTCTTTCTCAGAGCCGACGAGCAGTCTGAGCGTGCGGGAGAGGCTGATGCTTAAGCGCAAGGCGAAGGCGCTGGGCCGCACCGATTCGCTGGGGCCGGGCGCGGCAGCAGCGGGCGCGGCTGCGGCGGCGGCAGCGGCGAAGCTGGCGAGGGCGGATTCCGGCATGGTGAGCGGGGATGATTGGGCTCGAGGAGTGCGCGCCGGCGCTTCTTCTGCGGGTCATTCGGCAGGCCATCTTGGCAGTGCAGTCGGCCTCGATGGCGATTCGTTGACCGGCAGCAGAAGCGGCCACTGCGTCCCTGTTGCTCAGCGATGCTGCAGATCCGGGCAGCCCTTCAACTGCCGCCCGCTGGCCGATCTCGCCATCAGGACGTGGACGACCCAAACGGCTTCCAGTCCACCAAGGCGGCAGCGGCGGCGGCGCTGGCAGCGCAGGAAGCTGCAGAGGCGGAGGAGGATGAGGCAGAGGTGCGCGCGGATCGCGCGAAATCGCTGCGCAGGGCGGGTCAACATCTTGAGGCGCGCCGCCAGCGCGGGGGAAGCGCAGCAAGGGCCCGCGGCTGACGAGTTTGCTGTGCGGCAGGTTGCTCTGCGTGGATGCCTGCACCCTCGTGCACCACGGCGGGCGCCCGCTTGCTCCCGTCTTCATCCCCGGCTCCGCCGCCGCCCATGGCCCCGCAGTGGCGCGACATCGAGGCCGGCGCGTGGCCGTTCCGGCGGCTGGCGGACGAGCTCTGTGTGCGGCTGACAGATACTGGCTGGGAGGTGAGTGGCTGCAGTCTGATGAGCTCATTTATTGTCAAAATGACGGCAGCAGCCTGTCGCCGACGCACGACTGGTTGAGCTCGATACGGGGAGGCAGCAGGCATGCAGTCCTGCCAGCTGGAGCACGGAGCAGAGAAGCAGCGCCGCGGCGATGGTGCGCTGTGTGTAGACGCCCCATGGAGTGTGTGTCACCCGCAGGTCCGCCACGGCGCTGCGACGGCGCTGCGAGAGCTGCTGCGGAGTCACGCGGCCTTCGCCGGGGTGGTGGCGCCGCTGCAGGAGGGCGCGGAGACGTGCTGGGCTGAGCCCGGCGGGTCAGGTCGGTGGCAAGTGGCAATATGTGGTGCTCCTAATTTTGGCGGTGCTGACGGCCCTGTTTGCGTTAGGACAGATGTGTCGAGGCCAGCTTTACGGTTAGAGCAGGTCCCTCAGTTGCCTTGCTAGCGGCCTCGCGCGTGACCACGCGCCCCCCTTTCTACCGCACAGGCAAGCGCCGCCTGCGCGCCTCCCCGCCGCTCGAGCCTGGCATCGTGGCGTGCGCGGCGGCGGCGCGCAGCGCGTGGCTGCAGGACTGCATCGCGCTGTTGCTGGCGGTGCTGGCCCTGGACAGATTTGCGGACTACGTATCCGATCAGGTGAGCCGAACTGTTATTTGAGTAAGCAGCTGGACTGCCCTTTGGACCGCTTCCGATTTATGAGAATTACATGCTTTGACAACATTGGGCTGTTGGGGAATAAACTAAACAGCACGCCACCAAAGGCATGGTAATTGCGAATTGCCCCGGTGTCATACCGTGTGGGATTGGGTCCTCTGTGGCAGCTGAGCGGGCGGACTCGCGCCCATCAACCCGCAGGTGGTGCCCGTCGTGCGCGAGACTGCAGCGCAGGCGCTGGGCATGGCGGCGCAGCCGCTGGACACCGCCAGCCTCTGCCGGCTCCTGCAGCTGCTGTTTTCGCTGCAGCACCACAGGAACTGGCACGTCCGGCACGGCGCGCTGGTGCGGGCGCAGGGTCCGGGCCAGACCGATGATTGCCTAACGAGGGAGACCAACCTTGGTTTGATTGATTGGCAGGTGCTGCATTCGCATGCCTGCAATGACATGGGCCGTATCCTGCGATCACCAATCGGTTCCTGTGTGCAAGCACTATGTCTGCCTGTATATTTCTGCTCTTGCTCAGCGGCTACCAAACACTCAACATTGGCAAGCCTATTTCCCGACTCCGTTGGTATTATGACAAATAATCTCCCTCAACCGCGCGCGACCGCGAAGTCTGGCGTGAAGTACTTGCTGGCCGCCCGCCCCGACGCCGTGGGCAGCCTGCTGCCGCTTGCGCTGCCGGTGCTGTCTGAGGGCCTGGCAGACCGAGAGGATGCGGTGCAGGCGGCAGCGGCGGACGCGCTGGCGCCTGTGGCTGCTCAGCTGCTGGATCTTGATCGCGGGGTGAGGCGGGGCGGCCGGCGTGGGCCAAATGGGGTGTGATTGTGTGTGTATGTGTGCGTGTGTGTGTGTGCGCGTGTGTGTGTTTGTGTGCATGTGTGGCAAAACTACAATATGACTGGATGTCAATTGTCGGTCGTCCAGCTCGTTAGAGCAGCCAGCTCTCATACCGTCGCACCCTGTGACGCGTCCCCGGCCCCCCACCCCCTGGGCCCACAGGCCGCCTTCCAGCTGCGCTCGGCGGTGTGGCGGCTGGTGAAGGGCATGGGCGAGCTGTCAGTCGCCGCGAGCAGCTCGATGGCGCTCCTGGCGGCCCTCTACACGCCGCCGAGCCCGGGGCTCGTGAAGCAGGAGCAGCCGGGGCCGGCGGACGGCGCCCCCGGTGTCGTCGCGGCAGCAGCGGCGGCGGGGGCGGTTACGGGGGTTGTGGTCAAACAGGAGGAGGGCTTGGTCAAACATGAGCCGTGCGCGGCGAGCGTGAAGGTTGAGGAGGGGCCAGCGGGCTCGTCAGGAGGTGTCGTGAAGCTGGAGGAAGCTGCCGAGGGGGCGGTGTGGCGGCTGGACAGCAAGGGTCTTGAACAGGGGGAGGAGGGGCAAGGGGGGGAGGAAGAGGAGGAGGGCGCGTCCCTGGCCGCCCACCTCCCGCTGCTGTGGCGCTACCTGCGGCACCCGCTCACGGGCGTGCGGCTGGCGGCAGCCCAGTGTCTCGAGCGCCTGGCCGGCAGCGGCGGCGGCCGCGGAGGCGAATGGCTCGCGCCCGTGCTGGGCCCCACCCTGAGGCTCGTGTATCAGTCTCTTGTGATGGAGGCGGACGGTCGCGTTCGTTCACAGCTGCTCGCCGCCTGGGCCGCGCTGCTGCGCGCCGCCGGCGGCGCAGCCGCGGCCGCGGCGCTGGCTGTCGTGGACGTCACCGCGCTCGCTGCGCTGATGGCGACGCCGGCGGGGTCGCCGCCCGACCCCCGGCTGCTCGTCGCCCCCGACGGCGCGGGCGGCGTCGGGCCACTCAGGGCGCCGGCGGCCGGCGGCGGCGGCGGCTTTGGCGGCGGCTCGACGGCGCGTGCGTCGCCGACGAAGCGGCGGCGGGGCGCAAGGAAGCAGGCGCGGTACGCGGATGAGGAGGAGGGCGGGCTACATAACAGTGGCGGCGGGGGCAGCGGCGGCGATTTTGGGGGTGCGGGCGACTCGGACGTCGACGACTGCCTGCTGGGCGGCGGCAACAGGGGCGGCAGGTGAGGGGTTGTGGGCGCGGATCGCTGCTCGCCTACCGGGCCGTCCGCACACGCAGAGCGTCGAGTGCCACTCCCAGCATGCGGCAAGGTGCTGCAGGCGGATGTGAAGGCTGTCCTGCTTGTTGTGGTCGGTGGCCCGTGCACCTTGCCATTGCCCTGACCCTTGCAAACCCCTACATTCACCATCGTATCTCACACTTCCTTTGAAACGTCAAGGTTTGGCCTGGGGTCAGGCTATGACCCTGAGGCGGTGGTCGGCGCGGACGGCCCCGACGCGGCGCTGGAAATGCGCCTGGCGGCGGCGGCAGCGCTGGCGCAGCTTGCGTGGCGCTCGGCCGCGCACGTGAGCGGGGCGGGCGGGCGGGCGGGGGCGGCCGCGCTGCGCCCGGCTTGCCTTGCATGCTGTTGCCACTGCTCGTGCAAGCAGGGGCTGGTAAGTTTCACACCAGCCCGTCAGTTTACACTTGCTGTGTGCTCGTCCAAGTCCTGACGTCTCGCGCCCCCTCAACTTCCGCAGGCGCCGGCGCTGGTCCCGACCGTCCTGCTTGGTATGCTGCAGCAGCCCTCGGCCACGGCGCGACAGCTGGCGGGCCTGGCCCTGAATGAGTGGCTCCTGCTCGCGATGGACCATTTGAACCAGCAGCAGCAGCAACAGCAGCAGCAACAGCAACCGCAGCAACAGCAGCAGCAGCAGCAGCAGCAGCAGGAGGGACAGCCGGCACCCGCGGCCCACCAACTGCTGCGCGGCTCCGCCGTCGCGCGAGCCGACGCGATGCGCGGGCTCGTGCCGCCGGAGCTGCCGGCAGCATGCCTGCAAATTCTGTGTTCTGCAACGGCGGCTGCGCCGCGGCCGCCGGGGGCGGAGCCTTACTTGGAAGCTGCGGGGGTGTACGTGGGGATGCGGCGGGAGGTGCTGATCGCATTTGACGCGCTGCTGAAGGTGCGGGGTTGCCGCGCTGTGGGGCTGCCCACCACCCTTGCGCAGGCGGGCGCTTCCCGCCAGGTTCATGGCTGCATGGGCCGCTCTGCGTTGCGACAGGACACTGCGCGGCATCGCGATTCGCACTTCCCTCCAAACCCTTGTGAACGCTGACTTTCTTGGGCTCCCCAACGTGCCTGTGCCTCTCGCCGCAGTCTGGCGCCCCGCTAGCCATCCCGGCCGGCACCGTGCTGGACGCGATTTCCGCAGAAACTGCCCAGCAGCTGCTCGCCGCGGCGGCGGCTGCCCCCGCCGCCGAGGCCGCGCGCGCGTCGGCGCTCGCCGCCGCCCGCCAGGTGGCGGCGCTCGAGGCGCACCTCCACGGCGGCGTCTGCCTCGCGCTCGCCAGCGCGGCGGCGGCTTCCGGGCAGCTGCCCGAGAAGCTGACGCCCGTCCTCGGTGCGCTGATGCAGGCGCTGCGCCGCGAGCCGGGGGCGGCGCTGCAGCGGGTGGGGGCGCGGGCGCTCGCGGAGCTGCTGCTGTGCTGCGTGGAGCGGGCGCCCTGCCCAAACGGCAAGGTTCTCAAGAACCTCTGCAGCATGGCGTGCGGCGACGCCTCCGAGACGCCACAAGCGTCGGACCCCGCATGGTGCGTTTGTTTGCGCCGCCCAGCTGCGCACGCCAGCGTGTGCCGCGCGCGCCGGCGATCCGACAGACCGCCAAGGGCAGGCGGCGGGACAGGGCATGCGTGCACGAGGCCCGGGCTGTGCCGCTGGGAGTGACTCGTTCACTGGCGTTGGAAGTAAGGCCGACCTGCATGCAGTTAGACGGATCAGTGCGGCTTTTAAATGACGCCCACAGGCAACACACCTCCTCGCGCGCGTTCTTGGCACCCTCTGCATGCGCTGTGTTGCAAAGCGTCCGCTCCCTGATTATGCATGATCCACGCAGGACCGCCAACGACGAAAATGGCGGCGGCGACGAGGATGTGGACGCTATGGCTGAGCGCCGTGACAGTCACTCCCGCGCCGGCCCCAGCACGCACGGCGCGCCCGGCACGCCGCAGCCCCCGCCGAAGCGTGGCCGCCCGGCGAGCAAGTCCCCCACGCCGCCGCAAGGGGCGCGAGCGGAGGGCGCCGCAGTGCCTAGGCAGCAGCAGCAGCAGAGCGCCGCCGCGCAGGCGGCTGCCGCGGTGGCGCGGCGGGGCGCGGAGTTCGCCCTCGCCGCGATCGGCTCTCGTTTCGGGCCGCATCTCTTTGCGCTGCTGCCTGCCCTCTGGGAGTCCATGGCTGCGCCGCTCGGCGCGGACCCGGCCCCGCCGGCGCCGGAAGGCGCCTCGGGGATGCCCCCTGCTGCCGCCGCTGCTCATGCTGCCGCCGCCGCAGCGGCGGCGGCGGCAGCCGACCCTCAGGCTGCCATCGACGCCCTACAGATCATCAAAGTCGTGCTGCCAAACGCCCACCCGTCGCTGCTCCCCCAATCCCTGGACGCCTTGCTGCCCGCCGTCTCCGCCTGCTGCACCCACCCCCACGGCGCTGTCCGCGAGGCCGCCGCGCGCTGCGCGGCCGCGCTCGCCGCCGCCGCGCCTGCCGCCGCGCTGCCGCCGCTGCTGCGGCTGCTGCTGCCCGGGCTGGACGGCACGCGGCCGGCGGCGGCGCGGCTGGGGGTCGTGCAGACCGTAGGCGCGGTGGCGGCGCGGCTGCAGACTGCGCTGGTGCCCTTTGTGGTCCTGCTGGTGGTGCCGCTGCTGCGGCGGATGAGCGACCCGCACCCTGGCGTGCGGCGCGGGGCGGCGCTGTGCTTCGGGCGGCTGGTCGCGCTGCTGCCGCTCGCGCAGGTGTGGGGCCGTGGCTTGTGGCGTGGCTGTGGTTGAGGGTGTGTGGCTGTGGCTGTGGCTGCATCTGCTGTCGCGTCTGGCTGGCTGTGAAGGCTGTTGCGGCAGCAGCACCGCAGCTGCGACTCAATTTCGCGCAGGCAACATCGGCTGTGCGGCGCGCTGTCTGTTGTCAACACACACACACACACACACACACACACACACACACACACACAAACACACACAAACACACACACTCACGCACATGTGTGTGTGCTTGATGCATGAATGCGTGTCTGCCTGCACGCAACACATGCAATTACTGCGCAAACGCAAACCGACCCAGGGGCTGCCGATGCCGAATGGCCTAGACCCCCAGCAGCGGGCAGCTGCAGAGGCGGACTGGCAGTTTCTGCTGCAGCTGCTGGACAACCGCCGAGTGGGTGACTACGAGGTGCCGGTGCCCCTGAAGGTGAGTCACGGTGGTTGCCCTGGTGTTGCTGGTGGAGGGGCGGCCAAGGGTTTGTGGATATGCATGCGCATGCGTGTTTGCGTCTCTAGCTCTCTACGTGTGCGTGCCCATGCGCATGCGTGTTTGCGTCTCTAGCTCTCTACGTGTGCGTGCGTGCGTGTGTGTGCGTGTGTGCGAGTGTATGTATGTGTGTGTATGTGAGTGTGTGTGTGTGTGTGTGTGTGTGTGTGTGTGTGTGTGTGTGTGTGCGCGCGCACGCGCGCATTTGTGTGTGTGTGTCCGGGCGCATGCGACACGCATTCATGCGGACCCGGGTGGACTGATGCGCTCCTCCAACGGGGCGTGGCAGATTGCAAATCACGCTCTGCCGCCTTGCGCACCACCTGATGGTGGCCCCATCACATCCTTTACCCTAAAACCTCTAATTCAAGGGCGGCGAACCTTTCAACGACAGCCCCGGCGCCCGCCCCTCTCACCTGCCCAGCGCCCCATCCGCGTACCCCACCCTCCTGCCGAGCCGTCCCCTAAACCCTGAACCCTGATCTTCCCCCTAAAACCCCAGGTGACGCCGCGGCCCTACCAGCGGGACGGCATCAGCTGGCTGGCATTCCTGCGGCGCTTCGGCCTGCACGGCATCCTGGCAGACGACATGGTGGGGCGCGGCGCGGTCGGCTGCACTAACCTAGCCAGGATGCGTTCAGCACTGCGTCGACGTATGCAACAATTGGTTGAATTTAGTGCAACTTCTGCCGGGGGGCGCACGGCGTGAGCGCCGAGAGCGCCATGCTTGGGTGTGCGGGAGGATTTCATTCGCTGCTGCATGTGCAGGACCCGGGGGAGGGCCCCAAGGTGCGCACAGGCCCAGACCCGAGTTTGCCGGCAAAATTTCCGGCCCCTCGGCTGCCTGGTTGTCACGAGCAAACTAATGCCCGCCCACATACCGCCGCGCCTGCATTGCATCTCTCCCTGAACAGGGCCTTGGCAAAACCCTGCAGGTCAGTGCATAGCCCCACAGGACAGGGGCGCCCTGATGCCACACGCCTGCATGGGTCTGTAATTGGATTGAGATCTGCAACCGGCCAGCCTGCCCCTACGCAGATGGTGTGATGCCGGGTTGCAATGGCTGGAGAGGGCCCCAACGTGGTCGCCTGTTACATGTTGCCGCCGCCTCGTCATCGCTCACCCCGCAGGCGACCGCCATCATGGCGGCGAGCGCCCAGGAGCGCCGGCAGGCCGCCGCCGCCGCCGCCGCCGCCCCGGCGCCCGCAGCCGCAGCCG